CCCCAGATCTCACCTCCAGCCAACCCCCCTCCTCTCCTCATCCTCTGGTCCAACAAAGAAATAGCAGGTGAGAGGGACAAGCTGGAGGGAAAGGGGGGAAACAGGGGACCCCAGGACAAAGAAGGCAGAAAGGTCAGCCCTCCCAACCCAACTGGTACGAGTGGGGGGTGCTGGCAGGCCTGCCTGCTCAAGGACAAACCGTTTGTGGCACAGGCCTCAGCTCTCCCCTCGGGCTGGGATTCCCACCCCGTGCCCGAGTCCTGCCCTGGGCTCCAACTTTACTGTAAGGACTGAGGTAGTTCATCCATTTGTACTCGTAGCACAGAATCACCTGTGACGCCTCAAAACACATGCTCCGAGGAGCTTCCTGCTAGTTCATTTAAGAAAAAAAAGTCTTCCTTCTGTCTTGTCAGTCCGGACTCACCACACTAAGGCACCAGCGGTGCCATCAGACTCTGCCCCCAAGGAGGGCCGAGTCAGGATTGGGGCTGTGGCCCGCACCCTCCAAACACACCTTCGGTCATGAGGCCTCCTGTCCCCACCCCACAGAGAAGCCCGATGCATCCAAAGGAAAGAAACCGAAGTGCTCAGCTGGTGTTGCTCTCAGTCTGAATACAACAGAAAATGCTCTGCGTCTAAACCGCGTGTCTGGAAGGGAAATGGCTTTCTGTCCCCTGGCACTGAGGATTTTCCTCCCCTCCTCCTGCAATGCCTGTGTCAGGCTGTGCTGCTCTCCTTCTGCCAGTTTTCAACAAAGAGGCCCAACAGTTGCATGGTTTGAATGTCAAAGCCACTAGGATCTCCCCATAAACACTTTGGGGGTGGGGAGATGGAAGGAGTCCCCCACCCCTGGAGGAGGGGCGGGAGGCAGGGGCTCTGTGAGGTAGTTACGTAGCACCACTAGTTCCCAGTTTGGCAGAGGGTATGTCTGGAGTGGGAGGAGGGGAAGGCACCCTTGAGAGCTAACTGAGGCCCCTCCTCACTGCCAGTCTGCCAGGCCTGAAGGGAACTGTGCCATCTCTGCAGTGGGGGCAGGGGTCAAAGAGCCGTCCCCCGTGGAGGAGCCCCCAACTCCCCCTCCGTCCCCAAAGTGCAACCAGGAGCCGTCAGACCCCTTCCTCAGCTCCCTACCCCTTGGCACCAATTGTGGCCCCCACACCACCCAGGAGCCTCAGAAAGGAGGGGCCCTGCCTTTAGCTCACAGTGTCCAGGCGCCCTCTCCTTCTCAGACAGCCCAGGTCTATGTCGAAAGGTGGCTGTTGTTTGGATTCAGAAACGGCCTCTCAGCCTCTGTCTGTCTGTCTGTCTTTGGCACAGAGGAAAGTGGACCCAAAGAACCAACTGCGGCATCTCATCCGGGTTCTCTGGTTGTGACATGGGGTCTTTCTGCCAACGGTGAGAGGAAAGAAGCGTGAGGACCGGGAGGAGAGGAGGAAAGGGCAGGAAGTGGTAAAACTCCGTCCCTAGACATGGCTCCCTACTACCCACACCCCTCCAAGGAGCCGAGCCCACAACCCAAATGGCAAAAGGCAACCAGACCCTCACGGGGATGAAAGCCATTGGGGTGTAACTGTCAGATGCAGCTTCCAAGTCAGTGAACCAAACCGTTTGGTTTTCCATGTTCCACAGAATTAAAAAATAGATCCTAGAGATGGTCCTTTCTTACAGATACATACGCAGCACACACACACACACACACACACACATCTGAGAGCACGGAAGTCGCTTTTCTCAGGTCGTGCGCATCTCCCGAGTGCTTTTCATGTTAGCTTGTCATCTCACCAAGGATGGGGACATGGAGGTGACGGGCAGGCGGGCGAGGACCCGCTCCAAGCCCCGGCCTACGGGTCAAAGGTGGACCCACCGAGACAAGCCCTTCATCCCGCTAAACCTCAACCACCAAACCACGTTCCCTTGCTCCCTAGTGGTGTGACTTTCACGATTTTCCTGCTGGGCAAGTAACAGCAGTGAGTGAAGCTGTGCCTCATCCTCGTCAAGTTGGACGGTCCCTTCCACACGCCCTGGCCTCTCCCGGGAGCTGCATCAGCCGAAGGAAAAGGACCTGGGCTGAAGGTGAAGGGAGCAGCCCCCCGAGGAAAGTGCACGCTGCAACCACCACATTTCGGGGGCCGGGGGCCTCTTTTCCGACGGCAGTTTGAACCAGGTCAGAAAGCATGCTTGCTGCTGGGAATTCACCTTCAATCACTAAGCGGCCGATGTCTGAACGCTGTCTGCCTCATTCCGGGATGAAGCATGTGTAGAGCCAGAGATGGTCGCCGGGAGACCCTTCGCTGTGGCTAGGACAGGTGGGGAGCTTCACTATTACTGGCCTGACATTTCCCCGAAATGCGTCCCTGCTTCCTCCTCTCTGTAGAGCAGGCAGTTCCGGGGGCTCACAGGGAACATCGCAGTGAGAAAGTGGTAAGACATGACGAATGAGGCAGGAGCCTGCCCCCAATCACGTTCCCATATCCCCTGCCCCTCCCCTTTCACCCCGCAACCTAAGTCAAGAGTTCCCTAAGTTTGGGTCCACCACCAGATCAACCTAAAGATAGGGGGATGGAGAGGAGCAGTTACCCAAGAATCTGCTTGCCTCCTGGGCCATTGAAACAGACCAAGAAGAATAACAAGATGGGACTGAAACGAGACAACAGAGATGACAGCATCGCGATAGCAGACCAGGCGGACCTCTCGGACGGTTCGAGGGGCCGCTTTGTCTCTTCCACCAACAGGGAAATATAAATTTTAAAGGGTATATATCTTTTAGTTTTATTTCTCTCCTCGATAAAACGGAGGCAATATTTTAAAATATCTCAACAGCACCACTGGTGGGAAAGACCGGCTGGGATGCCCTTTAACCAAAGGGGAGAGTGGGGGCACCAGAGAGGCTTGTTGTCCCGGGGCCCACAGCCCGGTGAGCCTCCCTCCGACTCTCGCCAGGCAGGACTGCCCAGGAGACCGAGGTCAGAGGTCAGAGCCTCACCCTGGGGCCTCGGGCTTGGACCTTCCCTGTCAGCCCCCCGTCTCCTCCCAGGGCCCAAGGAGCCAGCCCCCCAGGCCGTTCTCACAGGGCCTGTTCCAGGGAGTTCCTAAAGGGCTGCACTGGCTCACGTTGTAAGAAATTAAGAAATTACGAAACATAACTTTCTCATTTTTTTCTTTTCATTAAAAAAATAAAATATTCAAGACTATCAGCTTCTCTTTTGCTTTGCTTTTCTTTTTTATATAAAATATCAGCAAGCCGCAAGGGGGAAAAAAAAAGATTAAAAAAAAAAAAAAAAAAGGTGGGGGGAACAAAAAGGAAAGTAATTGCTGAGGTAACTCCGTACCTTGAGGTAGTTCACTTGCGCACAGCGTTACCTGGCTGACTCCGCCCACACGTCATGCTGTCGCCTTACTGTGGCTGCCGTGTTGGAAGGAGGGGACGCCACACGTGGGCCTCCTCACAAGCAGAGGCCGCCCTCCCTGCCCAGCACACGGGGTAGCACCGTCCGAGGGCGCGAGCCCGGGGACGCCGCCTGGCCAGTGTGCACGGACGTAAGTGTATCAGGAGGAGAGGCCTAACCTCAGGTAACTGATGGCTGCCGCCTTCCACGGGCCTGACCTTCAAACGGGATCCTATGGAGGCTGGTCAATCAATAAATTAAGTCTATTTACCCCTTTGTGCATAATACGTTGCTGGTGTTTTGAATTTTGCTTTTTAGGCACACCTGTCATCACGCCAATGATTCGTGGGGGCAGAAGCCATCAGTTAACGATGCCTCTAGGATAAAAACAAAAGCAAATACTCTCCGATTTGCTGGGTATTCATAAAATATGCCAGATGATGAACCTTCGCTTTATTGGGAGCTCAGGGTTGGGTTCCACATCCCACCACCACCAAAAGAACAGTGCCGGTGGGGGGGGGAGCGCCCCGCAACTCCTGCCTCCGGGAGCCAGCCCTCGCTGGAGCACACGGGCTGGGGTGAGGGCACAGTGGCGGCCTGGGGGGCCACTCAAGTCCTCCACGGAACTGAGACGTTCTCAAGGGGAGTAAGGCCCCTTCCCAGTGCTCACATCCAATCATTAAAATAGACTTTAAAAAAATATAAAATCTGCCTGAGAATGGTGGGAATCAGGGACGGTACAGTGGTCAGCCCCTATCCCACTAAGCATTTAGTACCACCATGTGCACCTGGACACGATACGGGGCCCGTACGGTTCGAGGGGTCTTGGTGGGGAAGCCCCAGCAGAGTGGGGGACTTGTAATTGCGCCAATTTTCCAAGATGGTGATCTGGAACAGATCAGCCGCAAGGGCCTTCCTTTTAAACGTGGATTACTTATTTTAATCGCCTGTCTTCCCAGGTCTCCTCCAGTCTTTACTCCTTGCTGTTCCTGTGGGTTGGTTGAGGGAGGGACGGGAATTAAACCTCAGATGCTGATGTGTCTTCTCCCTCTGAGTCTATAACGTAAGCTAAGCGATGTCCTCCCTGGTCCCCACTTTTTCTGGTAGTGGCCATGCTAAAACAATTAGTGTGAATGTAGGAAGAGGCGAGGTCAGGGCATGAGAAGGGAGGTATTTTAACCAATAAACCAAGCAGGAGAAGGCTGGAAGGATTTTAGGATCAAGAAGCAAACCATCCCTGGAGGCTGATTAAAACACCCCTCTGCATGTTTTAAAAACCTGAAGGAAATTTTATTTCTCTTCCCACTGGGATCGGGCCCACCCTCTCGGTGGGACCTGAAGAACTGACTTAAAGAATCCACGTTTAAAAGCACCCTGAGCTAGAATTTCCATGGTGACACCCTGAGGGGTGGGCAGCGTTGGGCCAATTGGTTGGGTGTTTGGGGCAGAGAGATCAGGGTTCCTCACTGGAACGTCTTTCTCAAACAAGTGGGCAAACCTGATCTACATCCCAGCCCAAGGGTCCCTGATTCCCACTCATTCTCAGGCCTGCTGGGGAGAACGCGCTCTCGATTTCAGCCCGTCGTCCTCGAGCTGATGTGCGGGGAGGGCGGGTCACTTCCTCCGCGCCTGCGCCTGGTTGCTCTGTCCCTTCTGGTGCAGCTGTTTCACCTGGGCCAGGATGTCTCGGATCTTCCTCTGAGCCATCTGCAGAGAGCAGGCGAGAGGGAGGGTGAGGCCCCCAGAGGCAAGGAAGGAGACAGCCCCACACAGGGACCCAGACCCAGACCACAGGACACACAGGACTTCAGAAAGCTGAGAAAGGTTGTTTAGAGTGACCTCAGTCTGTCTGCCTCTGAATGGACCCCTGAGCACCTACTGGACAATACAGCAAGGAGAGGGGTGGGCGAGGGGGTACATTCATTCCGAATGTAAAACTTAACAAAGCTGTCGCATTACTGAACCCAGAACAGAGTTGCCTGAGTATGTTTTGGTCAAAGGGTCATCAACTAGGAGACTTTGTCACAAATCACAACTCCACTACACATGAAAGTATCCCCGGGAAAGGGGACGAAACACCTGGAGATGGATTAACAAAACAAAACAAAAAACAAAAATCAGTGAAATAACCACTGTGAAAATGGGCAAAATACCAAAGGGTCCGTATTTTTTACTCTTTACTTCTTAAAAGTTTCTTCCCTAAGAACAGTTTTACAAGGAAAATCCACTGCAGAATGCGATTCACTTGACAGAAGTGTCCCAGAGAATGTCTCCTTTCCATGAGCAAGACTGACTGGGCGATAAAATACCCATTTCTTTTCTTATCCAGTGCAAAAAATGGTTAGGGAAGGACCAATGTTAAATAACAGGAAAGATCATCCTAAATTATCAAAAGCCTGTGGTCGTCACGCCGTCACAAAGGATCACCAGAGGGCTGCGTGTGCAGCAGGCGCACGTGGGTGAGCGGGGCTGCGTGTACAAACAAGGTGCGTGCGGGTGGGCGGGGACTTGACCAGGAGGTGCAGCAGGGGAGTTCCACATGGCGCCGGCCCTGCAGGGCGGGACTCCGGGACTGTGTGTGTGTGTGGGGGGGGGCGTCCCACGTGGTGCGGGCAGACGCGCAGGTGGGTGAGGCACACACAAGTGGGTGGGGACTTGACTCTGGGCCTTGCGGCGCCGGCAGGACTTGACACTGCGTCCCCGTGGGTGATAAATTTAGATATTATTTTCATATACATTTTACTAATTTTCTTTCATCTCTGACACTTCTATTATAGAGAAAGGGCCAATAGCAATATTAAAATATTTCCTCTAATTAAGTCCCTTTTAATGTGCACAAATTTCGTGCGCCGGGCCACTAGTTAATATATAATGTATAATTTATAAAGTCACATATTTATATGAAACACATGAAGTTGTCAGTGCTTTCCCTAGGGCATCATAGAGGGAATAAAGCATGAACACCTCACACTCATGCACCTGGAAGAGAAGAGGCCAGCCCAGAGGCAGGCAGGGTCCCAGGACTGGTCAAGTCATACTGGCCAACCTCTGGAGTCTTGCTTCTCTGAGCCCTGGGCTCCTGCCACCCCACCCGTCTGTGATGAGGAAATGCCATACATACCTGGCTGGCATAGAAATGCCCGATGATCTTAACAATGACCTGGTCGTTCTCATCAGGGGTCTGGTCTCTTGGCACCACCACTTCAGCTGCTGTCAAATTCTGCAACTCGTTCACCTGGGGGTAAGTGGGCAGAGAAGAGCTCAAGCTGCCACCAAGAAACCACGGCTGATGGATGGACTTGAAGAGCATTACGCTAACCAAAACAAGCCAGTCAGAGGAAGGTAAGTATCACATGATCTCACTCATTTGTGGAATAGAATGGACAACATAAACTGATGAACAAAAATGGATCAAGAGACATAGAGACATCAACAGACCATCAAACCTCAGAGGGAAGGGAGGGGAGGATTTGGGGGGACTGAGGACAATGGGGGGAAAGGGGAACACATGTAACACTTTCAACAATGAAAAACAGAGGGAGGGGCAAGAAGCTGGCGACTAGCAGGTGGAAACGGAGTCAGAAGCTAAGCTTGGGGAGCAGAATCAAGAAAATGGGCAAAGTGGAGTCCTGAGATTGGGCAGGGCAGGGGAGCAGGAGGCCACGGCAGAGTTGCTGGGTTTGGGGACTAAGACCTAGAATTTTCAAAGTGGCCCTCAGAGCTCACCGTTTTGCCACCTTTGCCAATAACCCGGCCGGCCGCCGACGCTGGCACCCGGATATGGGTTTCCAGCTTTACTTCCTCCTTGGGTCCAAAGAAATTCTCCTCCTTGAGTTTTCCATAAATTCTTCCCTGAGCCTGAGAAGATGAGGTCATTGTTAATCATCGGGCCATATATATATGACAAAACACAAAGTACAGCCCCCAAGCTCCACCCGACCCTCTTCTGGCCCACAAGCCCACCCCACCTACAGGAAGATCAACCACCTAGGCCAGGTGATACGAAAGATCAACAGCACTGACCCATCAGGGTCCCTTCCGCTTATCTGTATTGGAGAACCTGGGTAGAGTAACTGAATGCATTCTTCCTAGAGGAATGTGTTCAGTTTGATAAAACCAGACCCGTTGGGGTCTGGGATGAGGGCATTTATTTGGACAATGCAGTGGCTAGCAATTCAGGTCCAAGTGGCAGCTGATCAAGTCGCTCAGGGGACAGGCTATCAGACACTCCACAGCCTGGAGAGCTGTCCCCATTCTCCGTCCCTGTCAGGCTAAGTTAACAACCAGCTTTGGCTTCTGACCAGAAGCTCGAGAACCCAGGGATGTAGTAGAGACATAAGGGAGAGAAGGGACTCTGGCGTTAAAGGCCTTCCCTTCCGCAGTAACTAAGGCAGAGCACAAGGAAGAAGCCTCAGACTCCTTCTTTCCCGCGTGACCTTCGAGAAGTAGCGAGGGAAGCTCGATGCCAGTCTGATTTGCACACCCCTCCCCAGGTCAATCCCAGTGTGTCCAGCTTAGGAAAACAATAAAGACCAGAACCTTGAATTGGGCCTCTGGGGGTCCAGTGATGATAACCATACGAACTTTGGAGTCAGGAGTTTCTGGAGGAGCAATCTGCAAAGCAAACAGCTGGTCAAAGAGGCGCCCTCACCCTGGCTGGGTGCTCAGTTGGTTAGAGCACATCCCCATATGCCAAGGTTTGTGGGCTCAATCCCTGGTCAGGGCACATACAAGAAGCAACCAATCTATCTATCTATCTATCTATCTATCTATCTATCTATCTATCTATCTATAAAAAGCAGTAATATGCAAATGAGCTCAGGACTCCCTAAAGGTCACAACCAGCTCAGGAGGAGGGGCTGGGCGCAGCCCCAAGCCTGAGAGAACAACACAGAGGGGCGCCTGCTCCGAGCCTCTGTGGCCAGACTGTGGCTTAAGCCCGCTTCTAAGCCATCAGTAGGACATCCCCTGAGGGCTCCCGGACTGTGAGAGGGGACAGGTTGGGCTGAGGGACCCACCTCCCCCCACCACTCCAGTGTATGAATTTCGTGCACCAGGCCTCTAGCCCTATATAATAAAAGCCTAATGTGCTAAGTGTGCAGTCAACCAATCATAGCATAATATGCTAATGATGCTAAGGCCAGTCAACTGCTCGCTATGATGTGCACTGACCACCAGGGGGCAGACGCTCCAACCAGTAGGTTAGCTTGCTGCTGGGGTCAGGTACTGAGCGAGACATGCCCTGGAGCCCTCCCTCGGTCTCTCCCCAGTTGGCCAACCTCCCACAACCCTGCCCGGCCCTGATTGTGCACCAGTGGGTTCCCTCAGCCTGGCCCTCTCACAATCCGGGACTCCTCAGGGGATGTCAGAGAGCCGGCTTGGGCCCGATCCCGCAGGCCAGGCCAATGAATTCGTGCACCGGGTCTCTAGTGAATGCATAAATGAGTGGAACAGCAAATCAATGTTTCTCTCTCTAAAAAACAAGTTTAGCCGAAACCGGTTTGGCTCAGTGGATAGAGCGTCGGCCTGCGGACTGAAGGGTCCCAGGTTCGATTCCGGTCAAGGGCATGTACCTGGGTTGCGGGCACATCCTCAGTAGGAGATGTGCAGGAGGCAGCTGATCGATGTTTCTCTCTCATCGATGTTTCTAACTCTCTATCTCTCTCCCTTCCTCTCTGTAAAAACTCAATAAAATACATATAAAAAAATAAATAAATAAAAAACAAGTTTAAAATATTTTTTCAATTAAAAATAGAAAAAGAGGAGCCCTCCATCTCCACTGTGCCAGTCCCCCTACTCCCACTATCCACTTCTGAGAACATGGGAAGAAAAAAAGACTCCACACCTCAAAGTCATTGCCCCTTGTACCAAAACTGTTTTGAAGGCACGGATGGGCTTGCTTCAGTGCCGGTATCTAAGCAGGGCCCCCACACTCTTCCCATCACCCAATCTCCTGGGGAGGTTTCAGTGGAGTCTTTTCAGGGGAGAGGGGGGTAATGATGAGATGACCAAGAGGGAGGGCAGTGACCACACTTCCTCAGAGCACACTTCACCAAAACTTTGAGATCACCGAAACAAATGTGCAATTTAACAGCGCCCTTGTTTCCCTGTGCCCGTCTCCCTCTCCACAGGACCCCGCCAGGGGAGGTAAAAAGAGAGCTAACATTTACTGAGCACCCACTGCCCCCAGGCACTGACTGAACCAGGCTCCAGCTGCATCGTCTCCTGGTGCTATGACGACCGCTATACTGATGAGGAAACAGAGGCTCCGGTCACACAGCTAGGAATGGGAGTTTGAACCCTCGTCGGTCTGTGGCAGAACCCAGCCTCCTTCTCTAGGCCCAATGCCACCTCCTCCCTGGCCTGAAAACTGGATTTCTGTGAAGAACTCAGCAAGGCCAAAAGCCACAGGGAAAAGGCCCCAGCACCAGCCAGGCGGGGCGCCTGGGAGCAAAGGCAAGAGGGTGATGGAGCAGAGCAGTTCCGTCGGGGACGGGAGGGAGGTAGAGCAGATCACCTTGATGGAGGCGCTGGCGAAACGGGAGAGCTGTTTGATGTGCTGCCCCTTCTTGCCGATGATGGCGCCCACCGCCTGGGCAGGGATGAAGACCTGCACCATCTCCTGCTCCGGAGCCTGCTGCCAAGACAGGGTGTGTCATCACCACAGGCCCAGAGCCACAGCCTAGAAGCCCCTCCACACCCCTGCTGTGCACCCTCAAGGAAAAAGGGGTGCAGGCACCCAGCCAACCTGGGCAACACCCTCTCTGCCTCTCCCTAAGCCCAGCAGGAATCAAGGGAAGAAGCTGGAGGAAGAGGAGGAGGGAAGAAGAGTGCTGTCAGGCTGCTGACATCCCTGGCAGCATCTGAGATTGCCCTCCACGGAGTCAAGGTTCTGACCTGTTGCCAGGGGCTGGGAACAATGGAGGAGAAGCAACCTCAGACCCTCCTACCTCCCTACAAACCCCCAAGGATCGGGCTCCCACAAGGAGTGGGGCTGCTTAAGGGAGGCCGTCGCCGGGCCCAGGGGTTCTGTGAGAAGGCTTTGCACTTACCATAAAGGAGCTATAGGGCGCAGCTCCCGTGACACTGCTGGGAGGTGGCGGGACTGCACTGGACGAGGCTGGGAAAAGACCCACGGCAGCCAAGTTCAGGCCGGGGATGAGATGAGACTGCAGCTGGGGTGAAAGGTGAGGAGGGGGAAGTCAGCTCAGGCTGACCGGGCCCAGTGGTCGCTTGTGTGTGTGGCCCTGGCTGAACTAAGAGGGGGAGTAGTACCCCAAGACAGAGTCGGCCAAAAACAGACGAATGACATGCTTTTACACAGACACCGCCTGCCCTTTTGGTTCTCACATGTGTACTCGTGGAGTTACGGACTGAGAGCTAGTGACTCCAACCAATTTTATTCCGTCAGGAGCCCGTCCTCTCTGGCTCATTCCGCCCTGAGACGGGGACAGACGCACAGCCCTGTACCGCCACATACCGACGGGAGACGCAGCAGGGACAGGTCTCCATGTGACTCCTAGGACTCACCTTCCTACACCCTTGCCCCACCCCCTTTGAAAATCAGATGAAAGCGATGGACCCGCTAAAGTATACATGAACAAGTTTTAAATATAATTATAAAAGCCCTATTAGTCAAACTTAAAGGCCTCAAGGCCACACCACACAGCACTTGGCCTGCCCGTCCCATGAGGAAGACCCACTCTGTGTGGCTCAGGCTCGGAGAGGGGCAGCAGGTGCCTGGCACTCACACTCATGGCAGCCACGTCATTCTCATAGGCCTCCCGAACTTTCTTCATGATCTCCTGCTCGGCCCGGCAGCAGTTCTCGATGGCCCCCTTCACGGTGATGGTCCTCTCGGGGTTATAGAGGGTGAGGTCCTGCAGCCTGCGGGGAGAGCAGAGCAGCGTCCCCCTCCACTCAAGGGACAGGCCCGGGCCCCAGCTCCATTTCTGCAAGCTGCTTAACCTTTGCCAAGCAGCTCTGTCTCTGGCCTTCGCTTTGGAACCGGGGCAGGGGGATGTGCCGGGAGATGAGAACACCCAACCGAAACCCCTCTATTTGTGAGGAATCCAATGACGGGGGAAGCAAGAAGGATGCTCCTTTCCCTGGGGGGTTCTGTGCCATCCACTTCCTGTGCCTTTGCAGAACAGAGCAGCACTCTGCCCACCAGCAAGTCGCTGATGCCAGGACACATGGTGCTCACGGGAATAATCCACCTGGAGAGGCAGGCCGCCGCCTATGCTCTGTCAGAACAGGACCCAGGTTTGAAACACAAGCCCTGGCTCCAAGCTGCAGCCTCTCCTGAAGATGCAGAGCACTTGAGGTCTGCGGGGGGGGGGGGGGGCCAGGACTGGGGAGGCGGCACCCTAACAGTCCCCTGCCCGCCACAGCCCACACAGCGGTGTGATGGGAGAGCCCCAGTCCTTGTCAAAATAAACACTCTTCACCACCTCTGAGTCTTCTTTAATGGGCAGAAACTGCATCCAACTTAAGGGACAAGAAGTATTAAGGTTCAGTCATGAAATAGGGCCGGCCCCGGGCCCCCAGGCATCCCATTCACACAGAAGGAAATACAAGGGAGCCTTACGAGGAGATGGTGATTTTCGTCTCCGTGTCCTGCTCCACCTTCTTCAGGTTGCGCCCCTCCTTGCCAATGAGACGCCCTACGAAGTTATTATGGGCCAGGATCTTCAGGGGAACCTCGTCAGCCCTTCAGGAGACAAGGGAAGAAGGGAGGGTCATGTGGAGACTCAGCCATCATGCCACCCCGATGAGGTTTGTAGGACAAACCACAGGACAAAACCATGTTAGAAGAGAACTAAACCCAGATTAGTGGCTGCTCAGGATGAAGAAATGGGGGAGTAGGGGTGGACTGCCAAGGGGCACAAAAACGATGCTGATGATGCACATGTTCATTATCTTAATGGAGTGACGGCTTCACAGGTATCTGCATATTAAAAGTCATTCAACTGTACACTTTAAAAATCAATTGAAAATAAAAAATGAAAATGCCACATTGTAGAAATATCTGCAGCTAGCCCTAGCTGGTTTGGCTCAGTGGATAAAGCACCAGTCTGTGGACTGAAGGGTCCCGGGTTTGATTCCGGTCAAGGGCACATGCCCGGGTTGCGGGCTCAATCCTCAGTAGGGGATGTGCAGGAGGCAGCCGATCAATGATTCTCTCTCATCATTGATGTTTCTATATTTTTTCCCCCTCTCCCTTCCTCTCTGAAGTCAACAAAAATATATTTTTTTTAAAAAAGAGAGAGAAATATCTGCAGCTATAAAAAAATGAATTGGGTCAGTATGTATTGGTGCATGAAAATGAAAAAAAGCGAAGTATAAAACGGTTTTATCGCCGAAACCGGTTTGGCTCAGTGGATAGAGCGTCGGCCTGCGGACTGAAAGGTCCCAGGTTCGATTCCGGTCAAGGGCATGTACCTGGGTTGCGGGCACATCTTCAGTGGGAGATGTGCAGGAGGCAGCTGATTGATGTTTCTCTCTCATCGATGTTTCTAACTCTCTATCTCTCTCCCTTCCTCTCTGTAAAAAGTCAATAAAATATATTAAAAAAAAACAAAAAAAAACCGGTTTTATCAATATGCAATATAATGTACATTACGACCCTCTTTATGCTAAAACACACCTGTGCCCTGACCGGTTTGGCTCAGTGGATAGAGCATTGGCCTGCGGACTGAACGGTCCCAGGTTCGATTCAGGTCAAGGGCAGTACCTTGGTTGTGGGCACATTCCCAGTGAGGGGTGTGCAGGAAGCAGCTGATCGATGTTTCTACCTCTCTATTCCTCTCCCTTCCTCTCTGTAAAAAATCAATAAAATATATATTTTTAAAAAAATAAAAATAAAAACACCTGTGCTTGTGCGCATATATGCTTCTGAGTGCACAACGCTTCCAGAGAGCATACACACAAGGTGTTACTTGTGGGAAAGAAGATTTCAGTGTATAACATCTCCTGTATCTCTGTGCTCTCGCTAACAAAGGTGTGTGTTGGGTTCAGGAAGGTGGCGGTCTCCACATTCGTAGGAAAGCGGAAGCCTTACGTTTTGGTGTCCTTGGCCTCCTTATGCATGATCTCCAAGATCATCTTACAGGCGGAGGAGCAGCCCTCGGGGGTCGAGTGGACACTGATGGCCTTCTCGGCGGCACCTGCATTCTCCTTCCTGTGCACGTCGATCCTGAGGACCACAAGGACGGGGTGGCTGGTCAGTCCGCCCTGGGGGACGGGTCTTTTTCGGGCTCCCCCAACCTCAGGCACAGGAGCAGCTCTACTTGGAACAAAGCCCATCAAAGGCAGAATGGGGAGGGCCAGGGACACATGGCCGGCCTGTTGCCCTGGATCCTGTCTTAATCAGGAGGTGGCGGTTGGAATGATAGCGTCTACCATGGGACTGCCAGGTTGGGGATCAGCAGCCCACACTCTAATTTGTGAATTCTGGATTTCCCCCTGAGACAACTGTAAAGGGGAGGCACATTGTCCCAAATAAGAAGAAAATAATGAAGGATGTATTATGAATAAGGACACCAGGTGACCTGTTCTCTCCCAGGGACACTGATCAGCTGTAAAGTTAGAGAAGAGTGGTGGCGGTGGAACAGGAGACGGGACGGACTTAGGCCCTATGACCGAGGGCCCAGACTTGGGCAGGCTGACCAGTCCTGCTGACACCAACAGTGGTGCTAAAACCACAGAGAATGACCGGCTCACCAAGACCAGGTTGGCTTGCTGAGACTTTCTATGAGGAATTTTAGATCCCTTTTTTACTAACAACAGGACGAGGTCCAGCAACGGCCACCACAGGATGCACCACATGCCCATTCTGCCTCCCCACCTGGCCCCGCCTACCTAGGAGGCTGGGATTGGAAGCAGTGGCTCCTGAATGGAAAAGAATGAACGTGTTCCAGCCGATATTTCCTACTGACGCCACTGAGTGTGCTTCCAGGAGGCACCCACTCCCCAGGTAGGAACCACCATTTCCTGGCACCCATCTCCATCCCCCAGCACCCCAGACTCACTTGGACTGGGTCTGTTTTGTGATATTTCGGATGGTGGCGCCCTCCTTGCCAATGATGGCGCCCACATACTGGGTGGGCACCAGGAGCCGCAGGGGGATGTCCACTTGCTGCTGCTTGGCAGGGGCCCCGGCTGCCACAGGCGAGCCCTGCCGAGGCTGACCCCGAGAGCCAAAGCCCCCTCGGCGCCCGTTCTCAGGACCCTGTGCTATCTGCTCGTCGGGAATATAGGAGACCTTCAAGGCATGGTTCTCCAGCTGGTGGCCATTCAGCTTCATGATGGCTCTGGGGACAGAGAATCTACTGGTTACTCCAACCCATGCTAATCACACCAAATGCCCTCCATGGGTAAAGCACTTAAGAAAGGGATAGGACCACCTGCCCACCACTCCCACCTCCACCTTAGGGGCCCTTCCAGTCTACATGGCCCAAGACATCAAAGGGAAACGTAAATTAGTTATTTCCAATTAATGTTGGGGTCAGCTCGTCAATTTCAGCCAAAACTACCTATACAAGTCATGTAAGAATCGCATGATAAATGAATAAATACAATAAATAAAGGTGATAATTCACAGGACTTGGTTTTATTCCTATTGAGTCTGGCACCTTCTATGTTTAAGGAAACTGTAAAAAAAAAGTTAAGAGTTGGAGACAGAATGGCTTATTACCACATGGAAGCAGGAGTTTGTGTATCTGGAATGTCTGCTAACCGGCTGAATTACACTGGAGGGAGGGGTCAAGCCCCCTCCCCCCCCATTCCCAAACCTGTTGCCGGTTAGAAATGCAAACAAGGCAACAGCAGGTATGGGAGTGAGCAAGTGCTGCCATGATCTTTAGAGCCAAGCTAAAAACCATAGGCTGGCCACAAGGGGCAGTAGGAGCCTCCAGGGAACTGTGAGCCCAGGAGACGTCTAGCATGAGATCCGAGAAAGTGGTGGGATTTTACAGTGTAGCCTAAGTTGGAGGAAACAGAAAGGATAGAGGCAGCATGAGGAAGCCGCAAGAGAGCCATCAACAGCAAAAGGTGGCCAAAGGCCCATGTATTGACAGGGTCCATATAGACACAAATGGGTAGATGGGTAATGTGTACAGTTACCAGTGAGTGAGCAGTGTTCATTACTCAGCCAAAGGGAGAAGGAGCTGGACCGTGTGGGTGTAAGAGGGCTGGAAGGACCCCAGCAAGCATACACGGGGCCCATGGCAATCACAGCAATAAGATGTCCGCCCCGCCACATCCTATCATTAACAAATGCTTTTTCTTTAAACATAGCAGTTCCTCCTCACTATCGCTAGATGGCGCCACCAACACAGCAAAGCCCTGCTGTTCTCCAGCAACTGAGATCTCTCTGGGAAGCCAACCTTTTCCCCTAGGGTTTTCCCATCTTCCCTGGGAGTTCTTTGGGCCCCTCCCTTTCCATCTATTTGCCATCAATCCTAATGAGTTACTGAACCTTTGAGATTCCTGAACCAACTACCCAGCAACACCCCACAAAGGCCCTCCCAGCCCCACGCTCCAGCCCACTCACTGCCTGGTCTGCTCCCGGTTGGAATAGGTGACATTCACCACGGCCGTCTCACTTTCCGTGTTCACTGGCGGGGGGAGCAAAACAGAGGCCAGGGTTAGGGCAGTGAAATCTGGAGAAGCCACTCAGGAATCCTGGGTGTGGAAAGCTTATCCGTACACACTGTGACGGACAGGCGTGGAGCAGAACCTTGGGAGCCTGTGAAATACTGGAATGGCAAGGCAAAACGGTTCCCCTTCCGGCCCCTTTTACCAGAACTCCTAGGAAACTTAAATTTACATTCTTGCGTTTCCCTTTCTACATCTTCCTTTGATTTCCCTTCCCAGCCCCCAAGAGAGCTGGGCATACAAAAGGATGGAGTCCACACATCAGCAGCAGGTCAGACGCCCACACAAGAGCCTGCGAGATACATTTACCCTTGGAAAGTTAAACTAGTTAAAAATCAACACACACTGAGGTTAGCAATTTACAGAAGTAAACATCCCAAGAAATGGCTTTAAGGATATGGCTGAAGGTTTTGGGGAACACCCAAATCCATTTTAGAGGCTGAAGTATCCTCAAGGCTCCATCAGTCAAATGCATGTGTATTGGAAGCGAGCTAATGGGTTGACAGGAGTGGCTGCGTGGCCTTGGGAGTGGGGAATGAGTATGTCTGCTTCTTTTCCAGAGGAAAGGACTTCCCGACTGCTCCAAACATCACTGGCCGTGGAAATGCACATATTCAGGGCATCACCAACTCAGGAGACCAGCCGTTAATTCCCCCAAACTCTTCATAAGCAGCCTTTGACTTTCATTTGATTACCATACACATTCTTTCCCACAGGGAGGAGAATGGATCGGACATTAGAATCTCAGGCAGTCTGGGCACATAGTTCTCCTTTTAAATTAATAAAATTAACCTTCTGTCATGTGCATCATTGTCCTGTGATTTGGGGTCCCCTGGGCCTGCTCAACCCCAGGGTGGAGGACATGGACAAAACTCAAGCCTCGCTCTAGCTGGTTTGGCTCAGTGAATAGAGCGTTGGCCTGCGGACTGAAGGGTCCCAGGTTCAATTCCAGTCAAGGGCATGTGCCCAGGTTGTGGGCTGGGTGTGCAGGAGGCAGCCAATCAATGATTCTCTCTCATCATTGATGTTTCTATCTCTCTCTCCCTCTCCTTTCCTCTCTGAAATCAATACAAATAAAAATATTTAAAAACAACAACAAGAAAACCCAAAACACTCAAGCTTCTGTCCCACAAGCTGAGGAAAGGCACTTGGCCACCAAACCTCAAGTGTTCTCCCACCTGGGTGGTGAGGAGGATTCTAAGTAATAAATCCTCTGCTTTTTTTTTCATTGACCAAAAAACATGTCGCTAACAATCAGGGATTCTAACAAAAAAAGAGACAACCAGTTGATTATTCCAGCCAAAAAGGGGGAATCGAAATGCTTTTAAAGTAAAAGAGTTGCAGACTTATCCATGATAAACACTCAATTTCCATTCTTAAACTATTTCTGAAGTCTTTTTTTAAAATAGGTTTTTATTGATTTTTAGAGAAAGAGGAAGAGAGAAGGAGGGATAGAAACATCAATGAAAGAGAAACATCGACTGGCTGCGTCCTGCAAGCCCCATACATGGGGATCGAGCCCACCCTGACCAAGAATCGAACCAGTGACCTCTTCCTGTATGGGACGATGTTCAATCCACTAAGCCACACCGGCTAGGGCTATTTCTAAAATCTTAGTTCTACCTTGGTTGACCCCTAGCAGCCTGGGACCCTATATCAAGAATGAGTGATTTTGTTCAAGTCTCATTGAACAGAGGAGGGACCTGTCGCAAGGTAAGAGCCACATGTCCAGATCCTCAGTCCAGTGTATCTCTACCACACTCTGTCCTCTTTGGGCATGCCAAATAGATCTGCCCATGGAAAACGAGGAGAGCAGATCCCCCAAAGTCCCCCACCACCCACCACCCACCACCTCTGCCCACTCTTACCTTGTTCACAGTTCTCTACTGTTCCATACTGAGCAAGCAGGCTGTCCAGGACCTAGGAGCACGAGAAGGAAGGAAAGCTACTCTGAGCATCCCAGGAACTAGCCCTAGGCCAGCCACTAGACACCCCGCATCCCAAAGCACTGGGGCGCAGGCTGAGCCTTGGGTGGGGATTGAGCATCATTACCTGTTCAGTTTGCCCTTTCTGGGGCACCTACGCTGGTGGTGACCTGTCGGGGTTTCTTTGCAGACATGTACTTAAGCTCAAAGAGGGATTTGGGGCCTTTTTAGAAGTAGACCTGGGCCACCTGGGGCCCGAAATCAACTTCTGCCATCACGAAGTTTGGGGCTCAGGGAACACCCTTCCCACCTCCTTCTCTATAGGGACGAACGTTCCAAGGACTAACATGGGTCGTCTTAGGTTAAGGATGAGACCCAGCCAACCTCCACCCAGCATCAACCACACCTGGCCTAGCACCAACCACACCACCAGCGGACAGGACCTCCCCCGTCATCTCAGCCAAACTCAGGCTGACCCAGGCTTCATTCCAGTCTCCACTACCCATGCCAGAGAGCTCCCCAGTCACTTACTTCCCATCGCAGCTGGGGTGGGATATTTCGGATCTGAATTTTCCGACTCCTGAAATTAGAGGGAACAGGATTAGTGACCGTTTGGAAAGCTTCAGGGGACTGTGACTTGGCCGTTTTTAATCCCTGTGCCAGGCTATCTCCCCACCTTCTTCTCTACACCAGCGTCTTAGAGTCTAAGAATGATAAACTTTGGGAACAGAGATTTGGTGTGGCGAGAACAATTGTTATCACTGTTACCAGATAGGAAGATCAAAATCAGATGCCCCTAAGCATTACTAGGGTATCGTCATTCCCTAAAAATCACATCTGCTTCGTCTCTCTACTCAGGTTTCTCACTAGAGAAACTTTTATTCAGTAACCATCTATAACGCCCCCCCTCCCATGTTTCAGAAATATAAAGCCACATAAGACATTACTCATTAGTCTGTTACCTATTTACACAAAATAGGCAAAGTGCCTGGCCTCAAGGTGCTGTTTATTAGGGGAGACATACATGCAAACAAACAATATCAGGGTCAGAGTGCAGAAGTGCTTTGTGCAGGTATAAATTTAAACCTGGCCTCCACTTCCTAGCACTGATCTTTAAAAGATTAAAAAAAAAAAGATTTAATTCCTTTGGGGCTTTGTTTCCTCCTTTGTAAAACAGGGATAATACCTATTCAAGGGGTGGTATACAAGGTAATGTTAGACAATATTATAAAGAGCTTAGCAAAGGGCTTAGAGTAAGTACGAAAAGTATAATACTAGATGCATTTTCGAATACTAAAGTGGGAGTGATCAACACACACATAACCCAGCATTCTGACCACCACCTCCCCTCCCTCTCCCCAGTTAACTACACTTTCTCCTTCCCATCTTTCCCCTTTAAAAAGGTAATTCACCCCCCCCCGCCCCCCAAGAAGGCTTTCAGGTTCAAGGCTGACTCCCAGGGAAATTGGTTACCACCCAAATCAATGCCCTAATCCTCAGGCTTAAACATTTTAATTGACTTGTCTGCAGTGGTCAATTGTCATTACAGTCTTTGCCTATCCATCCTTGATCACAAAATCTTAGTTCGGGGACACAGTCCAATAAAATTCTAGTGGTATGAGGAAAAACTGGACTAGGAAGCAAGAAAGTCCAGTTCTAGCCCTTAAACTGCCTCAGACTGGGTGTTCGTCTGACTGAGCCACCTAAGCTTCAGGCCTCAGTATCCCTAAGCAATGGGATCATGTCAGTTTCTGACAAGCCAGGAGAAAGCAGTGTTGAAACCCATGGCACCAAGGGAGGGAAGGGACGCTAAGCTCTAACTACAGATGTTTCCAACTTGGCTCTGTCCTGGGCCAGCTCACTTACTTCCCCCCTGGGGGACCGCGAGTGTCTTCAGCTGTAAAATGGACCGGAAAGGGTCTCCAAGACCCTTCTAGCTCTGCGCTGAGCGTGGAACGCCACGGATGACGTATGTTAAGGACACCTCTCCTGGGGATGAAATGACTGAGGAGGAAATGAGGGTGAGTGTGAAGAGAATCTATGTCCATGGCTGTCTACTTTGGTTGGTTCATGAATCTGATCTAAGGAGGTCAGGCGACAGCAGGACAAAAGAATAAAGATCAGACACAAGTCCGGTTCCAGGTCCACAGATCCACCCTCTTGTGATAACTTGCTGGCCAAGAGGGGGAGACTCATTTGGTGGCCAAATGGACAGAGAAAATCCAGGACCCCTTACCGTGGAAGTCAAACTGTTGGAGAATCGAGGAAGGAATTATGGCACCTTTGGAAGACTGAGATCGGCGACCCGGCTCCCAGGCATGTCCCCAAGCCCAGGACCCCCCCAAGGGACCTCTCTGGAAGAAGGCAGGGGGGTGGCGGCTGTCTGCCTAAAGCAACCCCAGTGCGGTAGTTCAGTCTGAATAGCTTTCAAATGGCCTTAGTATTACCTCAGGTCAAAGGTCAAAAATACCCTCCTCCTACTTCAAACTCCTAGTTTTAGGGGCTTTCTTTTCAGGGTGGGGAAGGGTTGGAGAGGGGTTGGGGTGGTGAAATCAAATATCTGCTTGGGATGTTAATCCATATCCTGAAAGCAATGGCAGTCTGGAATGTGTGGAATGTTCCAGGAGAAGGGGGGGAGGGGGACAGGGCCATCCAGCCAATGAAGGAAAAGACATCTTGTAGCCCGCCCTCCTTCACCCCTCAGGGCACACACCCAGGCCTGGGAGCCCACTCCAGGCCCCTTCAGGCCTCCAAAAGGCCTTTCCGTAAGTCCCCAACCCTGACAAAAACAACAGAGGACACGAGGAACCTCTGTCTTTAAGCCCTTGGCCTCGTCTCTCTAAAGTTCGGTGTTTCTTTCCGGCCCAAAGCACTTGGGGCAACGCAGACAAATGGACTCTCTTTCCTCGGGCCCCTGGGTAACTCATTCCACTTACAAACATTTACAGCCGCAGCCGGGCAAGGGCAGAGCTGAGGGTGGGGGGATCCAGGTGGAAGCTAAGAGAGCCCTGACTGCTGGGTACCTTAGCTTCCTCCTGCGGAAGATGGACAGATAGGGCTTTGAGGACTGAAAGCAGGTGCCTACCACGCCATGGTGCTCAATCCCTGTCCCGGGCCCCGGGGGCCTGCAGGTGCCCAGGTAGGCACGGGAAGAGGCAGGAAGGCAGGGCTGACTATGTGCAGCTCAGAGTGAGAAAAAGCAGTTCAGTCTTCTGCACTGGCGGGGAAATAGTGGGAAATAACACAGCCTAGAGTCCCACTTCCCCGTGACAGCTAAAGGGACCCGCTCCAGCACCCTAGTGGATCCACTGGAGCTTGAGCAGCGCCTTTGCTCTGCCGGTAATAAACAGGCACAATACAGAGCCCAGCCTGAACCCCAACATCTGCTGCTCAGGAAAGGCAAGAGAACTCCTAGCGTTGGGAAACCACCACCCACCCAGCCCCGAGCTGATAAACCTGTTGAGTGAAAGAAAGAAGCCACTAGCCCCAGGCAGAGCAAATGAGATGCACGGAGGAATTATTTCCCTGGTGCCAGCACCCCATATGTATGTATCTTCGGCCGACCTCTGCCTGCCCTGACCTGTGGGGCAGTTACGGGGCCCCGGCGCTGCTCCCCAGATACAGAGCAACCCTAGGGACCCACCTCTCTAAAGCAAGAGACAGGCAGGGGGCACGAGGACCACAGGAGCCAAGGGACCGTTCTTCTCAAGCCCCGGGCAGATTCCAGGAGAGATCAGAGGAGAGAGCATCCAGTAAGAGATGCAGGAAGTGTGGGGCTGGGCACCCAGAAGTACAGCTGGCAGTTCTCCCTGGGCAGGAAGCCCTGTCCTTTTCACCTTTTTAGAAAAGTGTCACTGACAGACTGAATGGGAAAATGGGTCAACTTGGAAGAGCCTAATATTTCACACCAGACTCAGATTCAGCGCCTCCTATAAACCCCTCATTCCCAGCTCCGTTTTACAGGGGGTCCTGAGATTGGGGGGGGTGAGTGTCTTTGCCAAGTCGCACAGCTGCCTAGAGCCACAGCCAGGATTCGAACCCAAAGCTTATCTCTTTCCAGGCTCATTGCACTGTCCACTCTGCTGCCTTTTTATAAAATATTTTCTTTATTGATTTCAGAGAGGAAGGGAGATAGAAACATCAATAATAAGAGAGAATCATTGATTGCTGCCTCCTGTACACCCCCTAACTGGGGATCGAGCCCGCAACCCAGGCATGTGCCTTTGACCAGAAGCGAACCCGGGACCCTTCAGTCCGCAGGCCAAGGCTCTATCCACTGAGCCAAGCCGGCTAGGGCTCTGCTGCCTTTTTGATGGCATTAAGGACACAGGCCTTCGCCAAAATATAGCCGTGTCAGGCTTGAGGAGAAATTTAAAATATTCAGAGTTCACACAACATAGTGAACCGTGGGCCTCCAAATGAGTGCTGCCCCAAACCCACCTCCATTTCCCAGAACATTTCCAGTTAGATAAAAAGTGACCCTACGGCATATTGAACACTGACTAGATATTTGATAATATTGTTAATTTTTTAAAAATCTCAGTGATGGCCCTGGCCAGGTAGCTCAGTTGGTTCAAGTGTCATCCTGATATGCCAAGGTTTCGAGTTTGATCCTCAACCAATGAGTGCATTAATAAGTGGAACAACAAATCTTTCTTTCTCTCACTCCCATCTCCTTCTCTCTAAAATCAGTGATGCCCTGGCTGGTGTGGCTTGCTTGGTTGGGTGTCATCCCGTATACCAGAAGGTGGCAGGCTGATTCCTGGTCAAGCCACAAACCAGGTTTTTGGTTCCCTCCAAATGGGGGGCGGGGGGGGGGGACGGACGACGGTGTGCCAATAGATGTTTTTCTCTCACATCCATGCTTCTCTTTCTCTCCCTTCCTCTCTCTAAAAATCAACTTTTTTTAAAAAATGGTTTAAAAAAATTAATGATTTTTAAAGTTCTTACATTTTTAGAAATATGTATGGAAATAATTGCAGATGAAATGGCATAACTAGGATTTGCTCCAAAGTAATCAGGGGAACAGAACAAAAGAAAACCGTTTAGATATAAATTGATAATTTTTAAAACCAGGGGATGGGTACTGAAATTTATTACATTATCCTCTCCACATTTTTATGCTTTTTTTGTAGTACAAGGGTTGTTGTTCTTTTAATTATTCTAGCTCATTTGATTTTGAAGCTATTAAAGGTTCCAAATTTTTTTTGTTAATCCTTACCCAAGGAAATTTTTTCCATTTTTAGAGAGAGTGGAAGAGAGGGGGAGAGGTGAGAGAGAGAGAGAAAATCGATGAGAAAAACATCTATTGGCTGCCTCCCGAACTCACCTGGACTAGGGACAGAACCCTTGCCCTTCGGAGCTCAGATCAATGCTCTAACCACGGAGTCACGCTGGGCAGGGATAAAGGTTCCAAATGGATGCGTTTGAGACTTTCCTATTGGTGTTTTATTAGCAAGAATCCAGGCCCTGGTTAGACGCCTGCTGGGGGCAGGAAGGGTATGGAGGAGCAGACATATGGGACCTTCTCACAATGCACAATGGAACAGTGACTCCCGTCCCTGGGAAGTGGGGAGGGCT